GATTGATTGTCATTTTATTCGCCAGCATGTTACCCATGGGACTGTACGACTTGTTTATGTCTCCTCTTCGGATCAGATAGCGGATGTCTTCACGAAGTCTCTCCTTCCCGGTCGCTTTTGTTTACTTCTTAGCAAACTCAAGTTGATATCTACTATACCACCTTGAGTTTGAGGGGGGGGTGTTAGAATATATTTTGTATATATGGTTATAATATATTTTGTAGGATTAGATTTAGGCTCATTATGTTCCTATATATATGTGTACCTGTCTTTTGAATAATACAGAATATATTTTTCCCAAATTCTAACAATTTGGGATATATTTTTCCCAATATATTTAGGCTCTTTTGAATAATGAGTGAGAAATTTATAGAACAATTTTACTGAAAAGCAAGCTGGCAAGCCGCAGATTGTCTCTCAAACAATGATATTCTCTGGAGAGCTTCATGTCTTTTCTCCAAATTACAGTATGATTGGGTATATATGTCCACCCTCCTCAAGACTTTAGCATTCTTCAATATATATCTTACCATGTTAAAGTCTCTCTCCAAACACTCAAATCCATGAATTGATACTGTTCTAAGATGTGATAACAAGCATGCTGGTACATTTCTTGGCTCAATCCAACATCCGTGACCACAATCACTCTGACAGTAACAGAAAAGGGAAAGAGTCAACACAGATACAAGAAACGGAAAAAAAAATTGAATAGAAAACAAAAGGAAGCTGAATAACCTTACAAGATTGATTTGGATGATTTCCAGATTTTCAGCATTTTCAAGGAAAAATGAGATAAAACGAAAATCAGTAAACAATTTGAGTTTGGTTAAATTAGGGAACTTTATAGCCATCGCATGAAATGCTGAGTCGGGAACCTGCAAAACAAAATGCATCCAACACCGGTGATTTAAGATCACAAAAACTGAAGTGGGGCTTACAGCTTAAAGAAAAAGCACAAACAAAAATAAAAGAAGAGAAAGGTAGTTATATAGTAGTTACCTCCTCCATCAAGGGAGCTGACAATGTAAGGCACTCCACCTTATGTAGTTTACGGAGAAATCCTATCATAGAATGAGAATCAATGCTATCATCAGGATCAAACATACTAATGCTTATATCTGCTTCAATTAAGGAGTCGAGCACCACAGCTGAGAAATTCTCGGATCTAATATCAGTCAAGTCGTGATATCTAACTGCAGGAGTATCTAACTTTACTGTCAATACCGTCTCCATCACTGACTCAATGGTTTCCGTCCTGAGTTCAAGCCTAGTTAATGAAGGCGGAGATAGAAAACGGCCCGACAAAAAATAAGAAAATGACCTCCAAATGATGAACTCCTCAAGCATTGGACATCCAGCAATCAGATGCTTGAAAGACTCATCAGACATAACAACATAGTACATTCGAAGTTTCTTGAGGACAGGCAAACACACACTGCCAGCAAACAGCACGGGACAACAAGACTCGTTAAGAGTCAAATCAACAATGGTTTTGCAAGTAAAGAGGCACATAGGCATATCACTGATAACATCAATATGAAGCCGACAAACATTTCGGTTAACGAGAGTGGCAATCCACGTCTCGAGCAATTCATCCGGTATGTGTAAGTAAGGTTCGTCGTACCGTAGGCAAAAATAATCTATATTCTTCCCTTTGAGCTGCGACATAACATTGTTGACGATTGCTGGTGAGTCTCTTTCATGCCCTACCCGTTCTAAGTCGCTGCGAAGAAAG